GAAGTGGATAGAGGCTGGGAACATGACTTGTCCCATCACAAACCAAGTCTTGAGGAGTCTTGAGCCTATTCCCAATCACACCATACGCAAGATGATACAGGACTGGTGCGTCGAAAACAGCTCTTATGGCATCCAGAGAATCCCAACCCCCAGGATTCCTGTGAGTTCCATTGAGGTTTCGGATTTTCTTTCGAGGATCAACACCGCTTGTAAGAAGAATGACAGACATGGTTGCAGAGATTTGGTGGCGAAGATAAAGACTTTATGTAAAGAAAGTGAACGTAACAGGAAGTGCATTATCAGCAACGGCACGGGTAGAGTTTTAGCTGAAGTATTTGAAGTTTTCTCTCTTCGCACTGATGAAAACGCTGTCGTTTTGAAGGAGATATTGTCAACTTTGACTACAATGTTTCCGCTTGATGGAGAGGCGAGAGCTCGTTTAGGATCACCCTCGTCTTTGCATAGCATGGTATGGTTTTTGAAAAGTGGAGATTTGTCTGAGAGGAGAAACGCAGTTTTGTTGATAAAAGAGGTTGTTTCATCAGATGGGAGAAAAGCAGAAGCTTTATCAAAAATTGAAGGGGCAATGGAAGGTCTAGTCCAGCTTATTAAGGAACCCATTTGCCCTACTGCTACCAAGGCTTCACTGATCATCATTTATAGCATGATCAAATCTTCATCAAGTGAGAAGATCATATCAAGATTTGCAGACATGGGTTTAGTCTCATTGCTGGTAGAAACACTCGTTGAAGCTGAGAGAAGCATTTGCGAGAAGGCAATGGCTGTTATTGATGGTCTCTGCAGCAGTGAACGTGGGAGAGAAGAGGCATATAATAATGCTCTAACCATGCCTGTGTTGGTTAAGAAGATACTACGGGTGTCAGATTTGGCGACGGAGGTATCAGTGTCGATTTTGTGGAAGCTTTGCAAGAACGAGAAGAGGGAAAACGGCGGCGTTTTAGTTGAAGCTGTTCAAGTGGGAGCTTTTCAAAAGCTGTTGTTGTTGCTGCAGGTTGGATGTGGGGAGAGAACGAAGGAGAAGGTGACGGAGTTATTGAAGTTGCTGAATCTACACAGAGATAGATTAGAGTGTATTGACTCCATGGATTTCAAGAACCTTAAAAGGCCATTTTGATTTCAAGGCATGCAAGCAAGCAATCCATACAACACAGCCTTCAGCTGTAATTGAAGTTGTTTAAATCATAGAAGAGTATAAAGGATGTTCATGTACAAATAATATTACACACTAATTTATTTATTTTAAACACATAATTTCATTATATGTGTTTGTGTGTCGTGTAGTTTTTACTAAAATTAAATTTGTTAATTTTTT